GGGAGAATGGATTCCTGAGCTTTTGGCCAAACACTCTTACCTCTGGGTGGCTGGATGTAACTCAGAGCCAGAGCTGTAAGCAAAGTCGCATTTCCTCTCCCAACATGGRTTAAAAGGCTCGGACCACGAACGGGAGAGAGAATGAACTTGGGTTCATCCTGAGGTGTCACTGTGACTGMAACAGTTGTTTCCTTGTGGCTTCAGGTGGCAGGGAAATCACCGCACCGCACAACTTCTGTGCCTTCCAGCAGTCTCATTCACTTCAGACAATTGGATCAGCCTTGTACAGCTGCTCTTCCTGCAGGTTTGCACCTTCTGCCAGAGTTTATACAAGGGAGGAAGCAGAGAGGGCAACTCGTCTCCTAGCCAAAGGAAAACAACTATCATTTGCCTCCTGTTGAAGCGAGGCAAGYGTGAGGGGAAGTCAGTGTGATCTGAATAGAGATGCAGTTCACTGGGGAAAAATCGTAGGTGGAATCCAGCATTTTCCTGCATTAATCGCGTTTGCAGTAATTATTGGCACATTAAGGTCAATCATTCTATGAAAAGCAAGGCAGCGCTGCATTAAAAAATATTAAAAAGACAGAAAACCTAATTGCAGGATATCTCTGAGTCACAAATCTACAGCAGGCCCTTATTTATTAATACATTGAGAAAGAGACTCGTTGATATTATGAATTCTGTAAACATATGCTACGAGGACATGTGTTTAATGTAAAGCCTATTATATTTACCTTGTCCTTACTGAGATAACATTTCTCTGCTCTTGCGSCAGAATTTCACCCTGAACCAGAACTCACTGTCAGCAGACTGAAGTTCTCACCCTTGCGGATGGCCAGGGATATTCCTTCCTTCCATCTCTGTTGCACAGTCTAAGGAGCACAGGGCAGTCCCATTTGATATTCTGTTCCATCACCATTAATCTTGAGCTGGGATATAGAGCTGCTTTTGATCTCAGCCATACCATCTTTATTTATTTATTTATTTATTTTTACAATATTAGAGTTGTTATTAAAGTTCCAGGATGAAGCTATGGATTATATCTGGGGACAACAAAACCTCACTCCTCTGAGGAGCAAACCAAGGGAATTGCCAGATGGAGAGGATGCATCCGTCTTAATAAACTGTGTCTGCTGCTCTGTTTAGTACCCAAGAGTTCAGAGCACAGTTCTTCAGACTGCAAACCTGGCTTCCCTGGGGTTTCCCCTTGCTCCAAGCAAGCCTGGGGAAAGTAGGAAAAAAAGGAAAAAAAAAAAAAAAAAAGACATTTTTATTCCCTTGCTTAACCATTTCCACTTAGAACTGAGCACAAGCCAAGGTGCCAGCAGGCTGCGGACTGTTCAGCAACAGTTTCTGCTTTTTCCAGGTGCTGAATGATTCTGCAAGAAGGAAAACTGCCCTGTGATAACATTTAACAAAGCAGTTTCTATGCTTTGCTAATGCAAGGGAAGGAAGAAGCAGAATACATCTTCTCCCTTGCAAATACTTCTGTGAGAAATAATGACACTATGACCATTAAAATTTCTGTGGTCCTTTAAAGCAATATAGTCATAAAGTTCTATGTCTCTTCCATATTTCTCTATTTTCTTCTAAACCTTAATTCTTAATCTTGATCTTAAATAAGGCTTTTTGACCCCAAATGTTGTGTAATGTTGTTGTTTGTTGTTACAGAAAAGGGAAGAGATTTCACAAACCAGGGAAGTGACTCCTTTGTATTCTATACCTCCATCACAAGAGGGTGACATTGCTTTATTAGCAAATCGCATTGATATTCTGAATAAAAGACGTTATAGGAAAACACAGAAATATATTTTTGTTACCATGCCCTGGCAATAAGCACCGATCCTAGTGGCTTGCTTTAACCCTCTTTTTAAATTTAGCATCATTGTAGTCTCCTGTGCTGGGAGCAGCAATATTTAAGACCCCATTAAGTCTGTGACCTTGCAGTTAACCTGTTAGCTCACTGCTGTGGCGCATTCCTTCCCTGTCACGGGTCTGGAAAGGGAGGATTTAAGCACTGGAGGTCACTATATTATCACCTTCAACATTCACCACCCTCAGTGCTTTGGCTGCGTGGGTGAGGGAAATAAATAAGGTAAAGAAACACCAAGCTCGGGACAGAAACATGGGCTGCATGAGACCATGAATACACTATTTTTGTTATTGTTATTGCAGGCAGACCTACTGATGCCCTGTTATTCAACATATTCCAGGCAAATAGCCTAGAATCTGTCTAGTCAGTAGAGCTGGATACCCAGCAAGCGATGACAGATCTGGCCATGGACAGAACATGCATWTGGGGACGGACTTGCAGTCTAAGGCATCCCACAGTGTTTAGTGACAATGTATTTAGTGGTTTTATTAAACCTCAGTGGCCCTCGTTCTGCTCACATGCCAACAGCTTACTCTTTACTCATCGTGGTTTAGTCTTGTTTACTATCAAGAACAGACGATCAGCAATTCAACAGTGTTTCGGAAATTCATCAATTTAAGATGATTAAGAGCTGTGATTTTTTTAAAAGAACTGTACAACTGCCCAAACTAACAGCCAATGAGGCATAGCTCTGTCTGTTGATCCATGACAATAAACATAGTCACAACAGAATATAGAAGTTGAGGAGAATAATGTATTTACAGTGCAGTGCCAATGCAAATAGCCTTCCATCTTGGACCCTTCACATGCCTTAGCTTGGCTGACAGTTGTACACTGCAATAGAAATTGCCCTGATATTTGTCATCCTGAAATAAAGCTCCCCATTCCCATACACCGCACAACAAGCCTTGGCTGCCCTAATTAGCGACTGTTCAAAAAAGCCTGAAATCCTGAAGGATGCTTGTACCTTATGAAGAAAACCACAAACTATAAAAAATGCCTTGGCYATTTTGTAGTCTGTGACCATGCTCCGACGCCGTGGCGGGCGGCACTACAAAACGCCACCAGCACAGGTAGGTCCTGCTTTGCTTTATGCACACATAGGTGTGGAAAGCTCACGCTCCCCGAGGCACGCGCCTCACCCTCGAGCCCTGCCAGCAGCAGCCCTGTCGGGGCCGTCCGCACATAGCSAACCTGTCTGCAGCAGGCATGCTTCATAACGCAGCCATTCTGCCCTGTGAACACCACATGAGTCACCAGATCATCCACCCAGGGCCACTAACCTAAAGGCRTGGGAATAGGAAGCCTCCTTTGTAGCTTCTCATGGTCATAAGGATTTATCTTTGGCAGACATGTGGGGGGAATGCAATGACAAACCAAGGTCAAACCATGATAAACATRAGGGGTCCTGAGACTGGGGAAGCAGTGACCCCAAAGCACGACCTGTGAGTCTCTTCTGGAAGAGCAAGAAGTTGAGCATAAGGCGACGTCAGGAGATGAGCAAAGTTAGGGCTGGTCCTGCTGCCTAGGCAGGGAGCTCCCAGGTTTAGCAGCACCGTGTKGGGACTCGTCATGAAGGGGTCACTTCAGCAACAGAGCGCCAGTTTCCATATGGATGAGTGTGTGTTTGTGCAGTCCAGCTTTATTTAGCACCCTGTTGAAAAAAATGGCAGTTAGACAAGTCAACCTCTACCAGATGGGAAGCAGAATGGGAAGGAATTGCTAGGAAATTAGCAATCAGGGCTATGTAGAGTAACTGCTGGGGAAGAGATGGGCACATGCCTGGCCGTCCAGAGGCACCCATGCTGTTTCATGCCCCGACACACCATTTCCTTGACAGAAATGGCTTCCTCAGTGGAGCAACACRTGTCCAAGCAGAGCCACGGGAAGCAGGATATGCCAAACATAGGGTGGATGAGCCTGCTGGGGCTGTTGGAGAAGCAGCATGGGATCATTCTTTTGTCACTGCCTCTGCTCTTAGGACAGGTACTGCTTTCATCCCTGGCTGTGCACCTAGCCATGCAGTCAGCAGCCATTTCAGCAGCCTTCTGCTCTGGCCAGCACACGGGTGTCAGCATGGCCGGCACGGGAGAACCTGCCACCTCCTTCCCATGCCTCTGAGGCACGTAGTGCCTTGGGGACGTCCGTGGTGCCTGGGGCTGTACAGCAACGCAAGTGGATGCAGGCTTGGCATGTGGCCCCACGCAACGGATTTCGCCATCCGCAGAGTGGTGCGAGGAGCCCACGCGCTGCAGGGCTTCCTGACACCGCCATTCCCGGGGAGCCCTTCCGATGCCCTCGCTCAGCAAAGCGAGGAGGGACTAGGGTGTTCGGAGGGTGCCATTGGGATGGCCCCAGGGCACATGGGCAGCTCAGCTGTGAGCTCTGTGCAGACCTGAGAAGCAGCCGCAAGGAGAAACTCCAGCAACCTGACTCGTGAAGCAGGCTGAGCATCCGGTCGTTTCCTTTAACAGCATTTAGAAGCGGGAAGAAACTTGCGGCTTGAACCCACGGCTGATGTATATTTAGGATTAGTTGGTGCCACTGAACACCTTTAAAGAGTATGCGTACATGCCAAATACAGCCTGTGCCAAAAAAACACTGCTTACATTTTGCTGCATTTATTCCAGAAAGATACACTATCTCCTCTGAGGGAGGCAAGTAACAAAACTCGATTCCCAGAGGCATTCTTGCTATTATGAAGGATATATTTGTGTGATGGCTAAACTTGGCACTTGTGCGCACAGCCACAGCTGACACTCAAGGGCTCTTATGAGTCAAAAGCCAGAAAGGAAGAGTTTTTGTTATTATTTGTTATTATTTGTGTGTGTTTTTCTRGGGAGGAGTGACGGGCGGTTACGGTAACGGCTGCTCCCAGGGCTCTCGCCCTCGGCAGGGCAGAGCCCGGCTCGCGCCGCGCCGCCCTCTCGCCGAGGCCGTGAGGCCGCGCCCTTACTCAAGATGGCCGCCAGGCTCCCCCGTGCCTCAAACGGGCCGTGAAGCCGCCGAGCCGCGGGGGAAGATGGCGGCTTTTTACCGGCAGCCCCTGCGCGGAGTGCCCTCACCCAACATGGCTCCCGCGCTCCGTTGTTTCCAATGTCAGTGAAGCCGGCGTGCCCTAAGGCGGCATGGCTGCGCCCTGTAAGCGCTCGGCGGCGGCGGTAAGGGGCTGGAAACGGGGCCGGGATCGCGCGGCGTTGGCGCTAAACGGCTGCCCAYGAGATGCGAGGTGACCCGCCGCTGCGGTGGGCCCGGGGCCCGGGGCTCGGCCTCCTCCTTAGGGGCCGTCCGGTTCTCTGTGGTCTGCACCCTGCTGGGGGCTGTCCTGGCAAGTGCTTGTCTCGAACACCCCACTGCCAGGGAGTTTGAGCCTTAAAATATGTATGTGTATATATATATATATATATATATATATGATATAAAACATGTGTGTGTATATATATATACGTATATATATACACATATGTATATATACGTATGTATATATACATGTATATATGTTGTGTGTGTATATCTACACACAACATATTTATATATACACACACTATATATACACACACTATATATATATTTATATATATGTACACACTATATATTGTGTGTGTATATAGATATAAATATTTGTTGTGTATATATATATATTTGTTGTAAATATATATATAGTGTGTATATATATACACAAACACACACACTTATGTATATGTATGCCTATATATATAAAATTATTTCCTCTTATTTATTATTGCTATTTATTATGTTCATGTATTGCGTATGAGGTAGAGCACAGCGTGTGAACAGGCCCTCGCTGCGCAGCCACGGCCCCTCCATAGGATTCCCTTCAGTGAATCCCTGTGGACTCACCCTGAAGCTAATAAATCCCGGTGATAATGAGGTTAATAGAGGTCTCTTAATAAGAATAGCTTCTGATGGCAGGTGTTGAAATTTCTGTCCCGTCGCATCAGAATATTCTAAAGCGTAACAATTTTTAAGCCTGAAATACTTGAAAGTGCAATGTATAAGTTGTAATAGCAGGSATGAGTGGGGGCCCACTGCCACACATGGAGGGGTGTTTTCTCTGCTTTGTATTTGGCATAAAGAAAAGATAAAACAGAAGAAGGGATTTGCATTGGTGGTCTGTGTGAACTTGAGCAGAAGCTGTAGTTCTTGCATTAGCCATGTAGTTACTCGACTGCTTTGCCATAGAACTGAATAGATTGGATAGAACAGTACTGGGAGTTCTGGAAGCTTTCATTAACAGTTAAAAAATATATATGTATATGGCAAGTCTAAAAATGAAATTTAACTTCAGTACCTGTTTTAACAAATTATTGAAGAAGACAGCATTTTGTGGGTTATTATACCCAGTGACTTATTTAATGGTTTGCAAATGGCCTCTTAAGGCTGTCTTCAGTGCAGGAGATGAAACAATCCAATTCTGTCTTCTCCSCTTTCGAGCAGAATTAGCTAATTCTTTATTCAAGATATCAAGGAATACCTCTATTCAAGATGAGCRCAATTGTGTTAAACATTTAGCATACCAATGAAATTGAAAATCAAAGCTGAATGTCCATACTCATTATTAAGGTCTGAACTCTGCAGGCAGTTGCATGTAGATCACTTTATGTACTGCAAGGGAGCAGTATKGGGCTATTTGTCAGCTGCTACCAAAATTGTAAAGTTGTTTCTGCCTGTTGTTCAGGTGCTAGCAACACGTAGACATTCTGATCTGGTGCATAGGTGGGTCGCTGCCATTGGGAATAAAGAAATGGAGGAAAAAAAAAAAAAAAACGTCTGAAACAGCAGTTGCAAATTAAAACAGTTCCTTTACCATTGCTAATCTGTCTTCTCTTGACAGATGCAACCGTAAACTCCATTTTCCTGTGGAAATCCATGTACAAGCTGAATAATAACCCCCTGCAGTGACTTCTCTTCAGAACTCACATATTCTGGCTGTGCTTTTAATGCAGTGCTTTGTCAGAAGGACCCTTGATTGATTCCCAGTATTTGCTTTGTCACATAACCATCGTCACCATCCTCACTACCATAATGTCTTGGGTACAGGCTGCCAACAGCCAATGCAATGAAGACGTGTTTGATGAAGATGCAGATGAGATATATATAGCACAGAAAGAGTGGAATAGCACCATGAAGAAAAGATTGAAGGTATTTCTATAACCTTTTTTTTTCAGTCTTTCAACCATTTTTACTTCCTGATTCATACCTTGCTTRATCTAGCTGACTTGAGGGGAAAGCGAAAAATGTCCATTTAAAAGTTACTGTGGTTTCATTTCTTCAGAAAATGTAGCAGAGAGTTGCAGAAATTCTAGCCAAGTAGCCTGTCACAGCACATACTAGTTTAGTAAAAGACCTTGGCTCCCTCTGTACAAGTGTGTGCATGCATGGAATGCAGTGCTAAATCTGGATTCAGGCTGTTTGCTTTGTAGCTGTAGGTTTGCTGCTAGTTCATGTGAGGCAATACAATTAAGTCAAGGTACCCTCTCAGTGAACACTGCAGAATCTAAAAGTGTTCTTTGAGGTCAAAACTATACATTGAGTCAACRTTCTTGTTCCTAGCCCTTTCTCTAAAAAGGCTGCCAGGTCTCTTTCTGTTGTGATAGAATGAAAGCTCTTAGAATTTTGATATGAAGTAAGAATTATTTTAGATTACATGATAACATTATTGGAGGACGAGGAAATTAATTTGCATTATAATCATTAGCGGTTCCTTACAGAAAGAAGTTTTCACACTCTGTGTTCTGTGTATTTGAATGTCACTCATTCCTAGCATCATCTTTCTGCCATATAATCAGCCATATTATTTGAACAATATCCAGCAAAAAGAGCAGTATGACTCAATAATTATTTCTGTGAAAAGAGAGAGCTCAATTATGGTGAGGAGACAAAGTCCTTTAATAATTCTGCTAATAGGCAAATTCTGCAGCTTAAATATTACTAGATAGCAAGATATCTATATGAAATACTCTCCAAGGAATTGTTTATTAGGGGGGTTGGCCATCAACTTTGAAAGCAAGTCTGTAAATTTCTCTTATTTTTGATGTTTATAAAAGCACTGTCCTTATTTCCTGACCTTGCTGGTGATCCTTTAGTGGATACTTGGGATCTGTAAATTGTAAAGCAGAAAGAGTTGGAAGAGGAGGGTTGGGTTTTTCTTTTTCTTCTCAAATCAAAAAGTGATATTTGACTGAATGCCCATTTATGCTTTTGCGTCATTGAAAAGATACTTATAGCTCTGATTTTGCACATTGTGAAAAGCTGTTTGCACCACTTCTTCTATTCCAGGAAGGCTATAGGGATGGCATTGAGGCTGGCAAAGAACTTGCACTCCAGGAAGGCTTCAACATGGGCTACAGACAAGGTGCTCAGCTGATGGTCACATGTGGCCAGTTCAGAGGTACCCTGAAGTAAGTCTTGAATCTTTAAAGCTGAATGAAGAGTGGGATTTTTCCTGTTTTGGAGGGGGTTAATTGTTTAGTAGGCCAGTTGTAATACCAACAAATCTGGCCAAAGCTACAAACTGAGAAGTCTCAGCCCATGTACAAGGAGTTACCTACATGGTCACAGAGTGGTCCTTTTTAAAAATCCCTCTCAAGTTATTCTTGGAAACTTACCTGCATCTTCGTCTTTAATATCTGGAAGTTTGTGTAGATATATGTAATCACTTATTCATTTCCTTTTTCCACTTTTCAGTGCTCTCTTATCGTGGTGTCAGCTTAATGGACACGATTCTGCTTTGAGTAAGATAAATCATCTTTTAGATGTAGTTGGAAAGCATGAAGAAGATGTGCTTAAGTACCTCAATTCTACCCAGGAACAGCCACATGTTGGAGACATTTTAGATATTGTTCAAGACATGGACCTTAGTGATACAGCTCCAGCTGGGACAGAATGTGATGCAATTAAAGCTGAAAAAGATGAACATACTGACAACTCTGGCAACACTTGTTGTAGAAATAGTGGTAAGGATGATTCATTGCAATCTATGTGTAGCCAGGCAAAGTTTTGCACAGATGCTGGACAGCCAACCCTTGCTTGGGTTAAGGAGCAGACTCTTTGTTTAGTAGAGCAACTGGGCTCCTCACTGGAGATGCTACATCATGTCCAGCAACTGGGACATTAAGTTTCTCTGTCTTGTGGTATTTGAAACTACCTGAACTGGATTGGAGTGTGSGTGGAGCAGGTGTAGGCTCCTGGCTGACTTCATTTCAGGGAAACTTGATTCTGATACTTTCCCTTTAGAGGTCATTCCCATAAACTTTACCATGCTTCAGTTCCTGTCCAAAAACACCCCTTTGCTTTCATTTTTAAACAATGGCTTTCCTTGAAAGGCCAGGTGATTTTAAAAGCTGTGGTTTAACTGCACTTATTTCTGTTYTGTAGGAGAACCTTATTTTCACCCACATTCTCTCTTTCTTGTCCCCTAAATGCCTTTATAAATGTTAAACCTGCAGGAACTTTTTGTTTTATGTCACATTCCTTCTCCTGTCCTTTACAGTTGCTAAGAAGGGAACTTTCACAGCTTTTCTCCTCCTTTCTGCACTTCTGTTTACACACCAGCCTCTGCAATTGCAGAAGCCATGGCACAGCCTTGTTTTACTCTGCTACGCACAGTCTGTTCTGAACCTGTTGGACCACTCTAAACGCTTTTCTAAAACATTGTTTTTGTGTTTGTTTTGCTAGTCCTTCTAGTCTGAGCTCTCCCCATCTCTCATTCCCCTAGAGCTCYCCTCCTACCCAGCAGGTTAAGGAAGCACAGCTTCCTGCCTTTACATGCTCTTAAAAATATGCTGTCAGACATGGGGCTGTACTTGACAGCTTCATATTTCTGTGCCAGGATCTTGTGTGGGACTTCCTTTCCTAGGACTCACCTTAGCTTTGACTGCAATGTCCTCTGGTGAGGAAGCCTTTTCTCTGTAAAGGACCATCTCTATTTTGCTATAATTAAACTGGTTTACAGTAAGTGTGAAGCTTAAGGTGCTTATAACCATCTTCCCTATCTGAGACAAGGTGGGGTTAGGCTGAGGCGAAGTGACTTAAAAATAATAAAAACAAGCAAGACTAAATGATTTTATACTTCAAAACTAAAAAAACCAACATATGAATTATTTTATTTTTTTCAGATAAAGAGTCTGTAACTTTCTTGCTAAAGACCGTTATTCTGCTAGATGAATCAAACTGCATGTTAGGTACAAAATTCTTTAGAGAGCTTTCTTTTCCTCCATTTATTTAATGTAATGTTGACATTGATCAAGATTACTTTTCTGCTATGTACGTTATGTTACAGTCTATACCTACATCAGACATTTTCCGTAAGGTGGAAAAGTAGGCAATGAGCTTGCCCAAGTCTCTTCAACTTCTTTTCCAAAAGCAACCTGCTGTTGAGAGAGTATTTCTTTCTTGTTTGATCATCAAGCAACTGGCGAAGATTGTATTTCACTTGGCATCTGCCATCTCAGCTTCTGTATGAGCTGAGTAATTACCTTCTAGCGCACTGCATGAAGTTTGTGTGTTCACTCTAGAGGTGCTCGTCTGTGCTATCACCCAGGGTTTACAGATCAGCTGTGGAAAGGCGTTCGTCTGTGCCCCCTTGAGCACTTTGCTTCTCTCTCGCTACTAGATCTTGCAGACCAGCCCCAGAAGGAGTCTCTTTGAGACCATTAGGGCCTGGAATTAGTTCGCAGGGCGATGCAGGTCTCTGTTCTGTGTCTACATCCTTATCTTCTGTTTTGCTTCCTGCTCCCCCCTTGGCAGCGTTCCTGAAGATTGCTCTCATGACAACTGGGATTGACATACAACTAGAGGGGGAAATGAAACATTAGTCACTATTACATGACAACTGGGACTGACATACAACTAGAGGGGGAAATGAAACGTTAGTCACTACTACAGACATCACTCATGGTTCACATTAGTATTACTCTTTTTCAACTGTGACAGGAGTCTGGCTTACATAGTTTGTGACTATGTAATGCAACCCCATTTTCTCTGCATCTTTTTGCCTCATGTAATCCTATAGGCACTACATTGTAACTACAGTATAACTAGGTGTGTTACACTGGAAACTATGGTTTAACGTAACGGATGGAAATACTGGATTTTCAAGTTAACCAGCACAAATGCATTTTGCTACAAAGAGTGTGTGGTGGGGTCAAAAACAAGTCATAAGGATGCTTTTAATGAAAACTTAATATTAAACACAATTATAAAAGACTGATTTTTGCATTTTCTATGAAACAGGTACAGAGTCTCCTTTAAAGGATGAACTGCACTAGCTTTCTCTCCTACCCTGTCAACATCAGAGATATGTAGTTCCCAGGACTAGTTTCTGATATTCCACAAGTTAAAAATGAGCAGGCTATTGGAAAGCTTGGGAAAAATCAAGCCTATATAGACCTTGCTGTAGTCCAGGTGTTGTTTGCTGAAAATGCTGAAAAAATTAGTGCTCTCAGTCCTTTCTCTAGTATATGTGGACAGGCCACAGCAATTCATCTGTCTTGGTATTTTAAGTTTCCAGAAACAAGCGATAAACAGTGTCACAGACATGCCATGTAGACTTCTCTTTATATATAGAAAGATAGATATATTTATGATGTATATAAAAGCATCTATAGAAAAGAGAAACTAAGAGTGTCTTCATTCACAAACATTTTCCCTGTCAGCCCGTTTTTGCACAAGAAATAAGTATTACTTATCAGTAGTAATGTTTAAGTGTACCTTTTTGAAAAGTTACTTAAGACACAGTAAAGTGACTTATTCCAACTATCTTAACCTTTACTGAAGTTGTGCATTTGGCTTAATCAATGACACTGAAGGCACATATTTCCATTAAAGGGGCATTAAACATTTATTCCAAACATTATGAAGTAAAACAACTTACCGCTTCACAGCTCTTGATATAAAGTCATCACTCGAATTTAGAGTTGGATCTTGAGGATGTAAGTGAAGACTACATTGGATTTCTCTGGAGGTTATGACATTAATTACCACTAAGCAAGAACAGAGTACAGGTATTTCAAAACAGATGCCTTTATAAACACTGAACACCTTCCTTTAATTATGATACTTAAGGGAGTAGAACAAGTCATCAGGAAGGGGCCTTGCAGCAATGTTCTTGCACAAGCCTTGCATTTTCCTAATATACTGATAATGAATAAGATTAGAAACTACAATTTATTAATTAACTGTAGGCCAAGAAGGAATTAGACTTTGAGTTTTTGCATTATTTTTTGGTTTATGCCAAATACAGAACACTTCAGTAAGTGATTTATACATAAGAGCTGCTCTGTTTTTCACAGCTGTACATCACTAACAGCAGCCATTAGAATGTATTCATAACAGAAAAGCACAGTGCAGGAACCTAAACAGAACCACAAGATCTTTTTCAAACCAATAAAAAGGACAGTGTCAAATATTCCATACATACCACAAGCTAAATTGTCTTTCATGGGATGAGGAAATGAAACAGAAACGCTGGTGTTCTTTTGTGGTGCGACTTCAAAGTAAAGCAGTTCTGAGTCATCTGGAAATAAAATTACTATTTAGTGATATTTCCCTATACACATTAGACATAGACACTTTTTGGCTGAATCACATGACAGTAATTAATTAACAAGAGTGGAATCTCATTGTGCATTGCTTTGGCAACTGCGTTTATGCTAGAAGTTTCAGAACTAGGAGGTTGTTGGGGTGGGGGGTGTTTTGTTTTCTGAGTACTCATTCAACTGAGTGCAATACCAGAATTAAGGGAGTTTGATCATTTGAAATGCTCTACAGGCTATGGCAAGGAAGAGTAAAGTCTGTTTAAAACCCAGACCAAAACTAATTTTTCCTTTAATATCCTGTCATTACTTCCAACCAACCAATTTACCTTCATTTATGTGCTTCTCGGAGACACAGCTGCTAATAAGAGTGTTATATGCCATCTGATGTCGAAGAACCTCTATTAGGCCAGGCACACACTTCGGATGGGTAAATGGGATTTTACTGACCAAGGCTCCTGCTAAATCTGCTTTTTCTGAGCCCTTGTTTATGAAGTAACAGTGCTTTGGGCAATCTGGAAGAGACTGGAAAAATAAATGTTGATTTTTCAAATACTAAAAAAAAAATAAGGAAAGACCTGATATTAAGAAGCAATCACAAAATCTGACATCAAAATTAATTTTGAAAGGCATGTTTCTAGAAAACCCCTCATGTCTATCTGCACTTCAGTAGAAATATCATCCTTAGAAGGAAGCTGACAGAGGCTGTCCATCTACCACATGCATTTCAATGTGGGGAATATGCCCCTAAAGCCAAGTGGTCATTAGTTTCAGTCCCACCCATTCATCTGACTACTCCTAAGAGTCATAGTAGAAATATTAACCAAAATCTCTTTTTCTCAGAAGAATATCTTGGTAATACTACTTAATACTACTCAACTCCTGAGCAATGAGGGTTAGTTTTGCCCCACATCTCTAGCCCCTCGTTCTCCTGCACCACCACTACTCTCTTTGGAGAGGGACGTTTGACTAGATCATCTCCTGGTGATGACTAGATGATCTCCTAGTCTCAAAAGGAGAAGATGGTAATAAAAGAACTGCCACCTCTCCATGTTGACAAGAATGCTATAACACTATTTCACTTCCAGTGTTGTCCTATCTGCTTCAGTACATGTGTTCATCAAAGTGGGAACTATCACCTTAAGAAGAGGGCAGGGCAGCAAATTAACAGGGTTAGTCTTAAGGAATGATGAGGAGCAAGTGAAGGCTCCTGTGGCCAGATGTCTGCGGAGCAGAAGAGCTTTTCTACAGTTGACTCAAGGTAAGAATTCAATTTAATTATTTAGTTTTAGAAATAAAAGCTTCAGATTCAAAAGCAAAATGATCTCTCACTAAGCACTAATGTTTTAGAGAACCACTGAAGAGTTAGAACTTCTCACGTGTACTGAATACAAGGAAATAAAAAGTTCTTCCCTGTTTATGGCCTTTATAGAACATAATTTTGCTAAGCCTTCTGTCACTTTTGCACTGCAGTCTCCAAAATCCTAGAATGATGCAGGCAAGGAGCTCTGATAATACAAAAAGAAATGCCCCTCCTTTCCTTTCCATGTTCTTCAAAATAGGGGTTTCTTAGGAAAATGAAAAACAACAAAAAATTGAAGCTTGTACTGCCTTGCAGTTGTCTTGTACACAGTTTAAAAGCAAAGCCTCTTAGCCACCATTTTATTTTTTAAAAAAGCTTCCCTGTGCCTAACACACAAATATATTTCTAATAAAACAGTTTAAAAAAGGGAAACTAACTGAAACTAAACAACAAGGACTCCAATTGGTCATTGTCAACACTACAGTAACACTTCATACATCTCTTCCTGTTAGGGCCTCTCTTTCCCCTGCAATCCATATTCTCAGTGCTACCTGATCAAGAGTTCTATTTTTATAAAAACAGTGATAGAAGTGCATCCATAAAGATCTTGGGAAACCTACATGCGTTACATCTTGGATCTTTCTTCTCAGACCAGCCAATAAGGTTTTTTTTTGTTGTTGTTGTTTATTTTTTAATGTTGAAGTTGTGAATAATATTTAGCAGAATAAGTTTTAGGAAGGGGTCAAGCACAGAAAAATTAATTTGACTTTAGTAACCATACACAGAAGGTGTTTCTTTACTGTGGATGAGAAGCTGACTTAGTCTGTTATTTTTTCCCTCAAACCTTTAACTTTTTAAAATATTTCCTTGATCATTTAAGTACTGTTGAAATCCTTGGAAGTTTGTATTGCTTTTGCTGATACAGAAAAGGTCCCTCAGCACATACCTCAAACAAAAATAGAGCATCTATCAAACACCGACTGTACTCACCACAAAGAAACAGAAGTTATGTGTGGACAAATCTTCACTGCATTTTTCTTTAAGAGTAGATTGAACAATCAGCTCGTATAGAGGGGCTAGTTTCAAGTCAGCAATCTGAATCCCTAGAATAAGTTCACTTTTTTAAAATTAATATTTAGAGCATGGTTATAAATCAAAGCTTCAATTAAAACATAAGCAATGATTTTAAGTACACAGACAGAAGAATTAACCTCTCTTTTTCACTGATGGGAGGCTGAGTAGCATATGTAATAGTTCTGCCCTTAAGTCTATCCTTTCTTATGATCACATTTTTAAGATGTATTTTCTATTGCATTTTCTTTCTTAATATTATTTGCTAAAATATATTACACTTGGGCTTACAGAACAGATTTTTCTACCCCACAACTGCACTATTTCTACTATCATCACACTAACATAGGAAAAGAAAGCGAAACAAGCCATGTATAGGCACAGAAGTAATCTTAAAAATAAAGCATGCCTGTGAGCCTCTGTATCTCTTCAATACTGGATGAGGACATAGGAATAGGCTGGTGAGATTTCAACAAAAAGCAAGCCGGTAGATCCATGCTGAATTCATCAGTCAGTGGCAAGAAAGCAGGGCTCCTGGGGAAAAGAGAGATTATATGAAAGTTTGTTAAAGAAACTGATACAAAAGGAACTGTTGGTCTAAGTGCCCGATTGGGTCCCTAGTAATTTCCCCTGTACCGTATGTTTTCCTTCTTTGAGAAGTTTTGCATTAGAAGTGCAAATATAGCTCTTGCATTTTGAAACAAGATTAGTGTGAAAACTGGCAGAAAGGAAAAGTGAGCCACAGAAAACTCATCAATGGCAATGATTTGCAAGTCGGTGTAGCAAAACGTGTCCAGAATCTCACCCATCTTCTCCAGTTACAAAAGCTGCAATCAGTGGAGAAATAGGAAGTCTGTGGAGTGTATCTGTGCCTTCAACAGTTACGACTATTTTTGCTCCACAAACCTGGGAATCTGTGAGAGAAAGATTCATTATTTTCATAATTCATTATTTCATTATTTCTCCATGTTAGTGTGGATTAGGCCTTGCATCTGAACTAGGCAGTGGTAAGGTCCTGTGAAGATCAGACCAAACCGACAGCCACAATGACWGTGCAAAAAGGAAAAATTTGCAGAGACACCTAAATGGCCAAAGTTACCAAATAGCAATAACAGCAATAGCTGTTTTTTGATCCTGCTGTGAAACAGATCAAACAACTACCAGTCCTTTTCATGTTGTCTAAATGGTTATTTTTGTTTGATATCACACTTGCTTAAGTTTCAATCAGCACCCAAGAATTGGGTAAGCAGTGTGCTGACACACCTTATCGTGTGAGAAAGAGCATCAATAAGTCATTCTGCTAAGCGAAATTTTAAATCCAACTCATTTCACTTCTCTGGAAGCAACAGCAAACAAAGAACGTTCTAGCTGCCCAGTAAAGAAACTTCCAACATGAAGTAAGACTATATGTATRAAATATCTGACGTATTTCTAAGTCTTGTTAATGACCTTTTGCTTAATGAAACATGTAGTGTTGAAAAGTTATTGTGATATTTAGTTATCTCTGCTTTTCTAGTTTTACCAGGGTTTAGTTCTGCTTCCAAAGCTTGATAGGGGGAAACGTAAAATTCAATGTTCAAAGGAGTTCCTGAGGAATTAAAAAAAAAAAAATTTACTATACAAGTCAATAAAGGAAATTACTATCAAACATAATGCTACAGGATAAAAAAAAAGAAGAAAGAAGAATGTGAGGTGGACAGAAGTGGAGTCTTAAAAGCATGCATCTGTAATCACAGTATGTGTTCTCATCAAATACTAAGAAAATGCTTTAACAGCTAAAACCTCACTGTATAGATTTGTCAGATATCTTCTAGTAGAAGAGGTTTATTTTCAGTCTTTTGCACAATATCCTCTTGTTCAGCCTTAAATATTAGCTTAACTCCTAGCATTCAGTAACTAGTCTGAAATGTGAGGGGAGACTCATAATAAGTGCATAATAGGGACCTTCATTCAGCTGTGTAACAGCATAGTGGAAGCACATACTGGAAATGCTTTTACAGGGTATACTGCACCAATTACTAAAGCTCAGCTTTGGCAGTGGGGATGAGCCAGGAAACTTAGATAAATGAGTGCCTTTCAGGCAATATCAGTATTATCTCAGCTATTACCACTGTTAYTTCATGGTTACTCCCAAATGTGGTTTCCCACGTAACCTCAAAACAGTGCTAGCTTTGCTTCTGTAGGCTGCTGTGAGGTCAGAATTGCTGTAGCTGATAAACCACCTGTGCCCTTTCTGAAGGTGTATTTAGTGTTTAAGAGACCCACCCAGTCCCAACACCGCATTTTATACATAATAGAGGAGCTTTGCTATGAACAAACATGAATGCAACATTGTGCCTTTATTCGCTTWTGAATCTGAAGGAAAAAAAATTAAAAAGTCACCTCCAGTTCTTGGCACCAGGTGTCCTACTTTTCCATGAAGGACTTCAGTAACTCTGCTCACATCCTCTGTTCTGTTTCAGAAACACATCTGGGTTAGTGCTTCCTGAGATGCAGTGCTAGCTAGCTCCATGTAAGTGATTATATGTACCCCTAACCAAAGGGAGTGTTCTTTCTTGAATGTGCAATGTATCTTTGTATGTTATAAAAACTTCCTAAAACTCCATCATGAAATACATGTGCAGCCCCTGGAACTTGAGCTTCCTGCTTCAGGCCTGTATCTCTGCTGCTTCATGTTGAAACTTGGTGGGCTATTTACCAGAAATGGAAGGGTAAGGAAAACATGGAAGTATCAGATAAGGTAAAGAGTGAGGAAACAACCTGGATAAACTAACTCAAACAAAACCAGTCTCTAACCTCAAGTATTTTGAGCTGAATACATATAGGTATACAGCTATATGGCTRTGTACTGGAACTCTGCAGCACGTTTACTTGTATCAGTACAAGGGAAAAATTATCAATGAACAACATTCACTGAGAAATCTGTGATTAGTAGATGACATAGTATCTTTGTTCATGGACTTAATAACACTTCGTAAGGAAATATAATTAAAAAAAAGGGGGGAGGGGGAACCAAGAGTGTATCTCAAGTTACATAAAGCCATGCTTCCTGAGAGTAGGTAAGAGATAGGTAAGAGATCAGAAAAGATATTTCAGAATCGAGAAGGAAAGCACTGGGCTGTAAGGAGGTCTGTCCTAGGGAGGTCTGTCCTCCATCTATTTGTAATCTTACACCTAACAGGACAAGTAAGGWTAGAGGGAAAGCTAATAGGTGATCTCAAGCTTCATCAGAAATTGAGATCCTCAGAAAGCAGAAGCCTAGAAGATATGCTTTACTCCTGCAAAAAGGAGAGCCAAAAATTACTGGTAAATTTAATGTACACTGGCTGCTCTAGGTAGGTGGTCACACACACATACCCTAAGCCCTATGTCCAACCAGATTCACAGTGAGCCCCTTAGATAAGGCCAGCAGTTCACTAGATCATCTTGTTTGGCATGCCTAGGGTTGGCAAGCTCCAGAAAGACTTAAGCTTTCCAGTGGAAGAAAACTCACCAGTTTTCTGCATCCTGTTCTATGATATGAAGGGATGGGGGTAGAGAGGGGGAGAAAGAGGTAGTCTTTGAGTTACCTGTCCTGAAGAGACATCGAATAAAGATCTTTTTCAAGTGCCTTCAAAGCAAGGTATCCCTTTGCTTTCATTTCACTAGGAGAGAGAGAAAGCAAATATTTTCTTTTAACTAAAGAATAGCTAGATTACAGACTTTAAAGATTTGGTGAGTAAAAACTAGTTGCAACCTGACCTGTTTCCTGGAATCTGATATATATTCGACAGGTCTTCTAGAATCTTTCCAAAGGCATTATAGTCCTTCATCCTAGAAGTAAGAARCAGTTATTACCATACTTCTAAATGAGAAAGATAATAAGTCTTTTATTTCTAACTTGCTAGAAGAGAAAACAGTATTTCAAGTAGAATGACATAGTTCCCCTCTTTATCAGATCTGGCATGTAGTAGTACTGCTTATACATTTTCTTAGAAGATACCAGGAAAAGTGAATCCTTGGTGCTCTTGCAAAAAAGCAATGTAATTATAGCTAACAGTGGTTAAATATGCATTGCTGAAAGTATTAAGTGTGCATGATACACAAATCTGACAGCTTGAAATGTAGCTCATCAGCTACAAAGAGCTCTTCTTGATGTTCCAATGGAGTTAGTCATGTAGTAATGCTTCCCCAACACAACATACTCATACATTGTTCTCTTCATCAGAATATCAAGCTCTGCATTATGATTGCACGTTATGGCACTCCGAGAGGCAGCTCTCAGGCAACTGACAGATACATTTATTTATTTAAAAAAATAGACAGGTGGCTTGCATAAGGCTATAAAGGACTGTTTTACACAGCTCACAAAATAAAATTCCTGTAAATTTTAGCTATCTGTTTAGTTACTGATGTGACAGCCTGGAGCTCTGCACAAGCTAAGCCATCAAGAACTTGCCCTTCTGCCGAAATGGGTTTTGCCACCCTTTCTCAACTCTTCTGCAGCAGGTAGCTATACTTGAATTTAAATCCAAACCTGCACTTTTTGCATATGGGTGCTGCATGTATCAGAAAAAGGAACTAACAAGTCTGCACTTGCTTGTCTCTGGGACAAACTCCTTTCCAAAAAGAAACCTAAGCAAATCACTCACTTTCTTACATGACTCTTTCCAACTCGATCAGTGGGGAAGCAGGTGGAAGGAGGTGCATGTACACACATGCAAACACAGTATCTGACTATGTTTTAGACCTAATAGACCTAATTCAACAATAGTGTATAGTTACTTTGACATCCCCAGACCAACATCACCTCTCCACTACAGATAAACTGCCTCGGGCCAAATAAATATTACACTACTATACTAGGAGGTGTAGAGGAGAAAACAGGAAAGCAGGCAAGTATGCACAGTGCCAATGTAAGCAACCATCCCTGGGGGACAAATGGCTGTTTATTTTCTTTTTTACTTCAAGTAACTTTTAATTAACTTACAGAAGTGCAAGTTAAAGCTTTAATATAGTTCTTTATACTATAAACTAAATATAATTCAATGACTGAGTAAAGACAGGGCAGGGAAAAAGACAAAACATGTTCCAGGCCCAGGTATTTAGGAAACAGGCAAGATCAATAATACATATGTATTTTTAAATCTTTCACTTGTTCTGGCAGGGCATTTAGATAACAATGTGACTTCTTACGTATACGCATTGCTAGTACACCTGGAACAGTGGCCACGTTGGCCAGCGTACTCAGGGCACTTGTAACCACACTTGAGGAGGCCCCATTCGAAACAATAATTCTTCAGACCAAACAAATGAGAGTAATAAGAGAGGGGGAAAAAAAATACAGCATCATGCTGCTGCATGAGAAAATTAAAGCAAGCCTGCTACACATCTGAAAGGAAACAGGCCCTGTGATATCACCTTGCCTTCCTTGCTGTGCAGCAGACTGATGGGCACCTACTGAAGACACCTACCCAACGACAGCGGAGGCATATTGATTTGCTGCAGGAAGCCTGGTAATATTTGTGTGGAAACTGTGGGTCTGCCACCTCTGAGTTTTCATCATCATCCTATGTCCAGAAACATGGAGCCAAGGGCTTGCAACCAGTACAAAATAGTCCAAGGCTGTGTTCAGTTAAGGGGGTTACATTCTCTCTCCCTTACATTACATAGAGGGGGTTACATTCTCTCCCCTTCCTCTCTGCCACAGAAGTAGATCTAATTTAGCTGTTTTTTTAATGGAATGGATTGAAGAAATGAGTAAGATCAACTGTCTGGAGTAGGTTTTTTCCAGTTAGATTTGTTGCATTTTTATCCTTGAATGTACAGATYGTTTTTTCCTTAACTGGCTTATTTCCAAAAACAAATGTCCTTCCCATAAGGAGCACTGAAACTYACTTCCCAGATAAAATGAAAGCCCAGAAAAATCTCAGCTCTTCTGTTGTTTTCCGGATTCATACTATCATTGCCTAATCCTAACTCTGGAGGAGGTTAAGGAAATAGTTGCATTATTACACTAAAAATCATTCTATCCTTGACTCTCTGAAACAGAGAAATTTAAGACTATCAGGAATTCCTTTCTATCCAACAAGACACTACATATGAGTCTTTACCTTAGATGCTGCACCAACTCRTCACAAATCTAGAGAAATAAAACAAGAAAGTCATATTTCCTATCATCCTTGAAGAAATGCCTCCAAAAAAGGAGGTAATTTGGTAATAGCAGAGTGGAATTCATTGGTAATTCATTGGCAATAGTAAGATTATTCTGCATTACTTTCACTTAACTGAATCTAAAAAAACAAACAAACAGAAAACCCGAGTCACATAACAGAATGCTAATTTAATAATTAAGGGAAGAAAGGCTCTGTGAAGAAGATATAATTAGCAAGAATAGTTTGTTGATATATTCTTTCAAAAAAAAAAAAAAATTGCATCCTTGCCAGTTTTTCTTTTGCTGGCAGCTACAGCGCTACAGTTCTCTGGATACCCATTTCCATCTTAATAATATTTTCCAGCACTGATGGATTTTCATCAGTAAGCATCCAAATGGCTACATTCATTTGGAGTTAATTTACTCCCTTTTTTCATTTGCAGACATACCGGGAATTTCCGGGCATTCGTGTTTAATCAGCTCTGTTGATCACAGCCTACGTTTTCCCCCTCACCACAGCCAACAGCTTGTTTTAGCTGTGATCTGAATGATCACCTGTAACACGGAGCAACTGCAGAACTTGGCATTCAAATCACAGAGAGATATTTTACATTTAGTGAGACATTTTGCAAAGGGGGAAAAAAAAAMCATATGCAACAGGAACATACCCATAAAGAAGACAGATGAAAACAATTGCAAATCTCTGGTAACACTAAAAGACACTTCCAGTGGGAGTATATTACATACATTACATTGATAAAGTACAATACAAGCATTTTATACAGAATACTACAAAATGCTTGGAAGCTGCAGGGAGGAAACAAGAGTACTTAAGATATCTTCACTATGTTTAAGTAGAAGATTCAGATCCAAAATGGGTTTCTAGTGTCATTTTAGACACCCTAAAGGAGCCAAGAAGGCTTCACAGCTTGGCAGATGTGACAAGGCCAAAGGRGGCCTGAGACCTTCTGTCGTGGCAGCTGCAGGCCATGCGGGAGACCATAGGGAGGGGAGGAACAGAAAATTAACTTTACCACAGGAGCCTCTCCAAGGTGAGCCAGCTTTACATCCATCACCTTCCCATCCTTCTCTAGCTGGACTTCTATATAAAACATGTCTGATGTTATGTAGCAGGCAGTTCCACTAGGGCTCACGTGAGAGTTCAGCCTAGGGAGAGCAGGGAAAGCAAAATAAGAAAACTCAATATGTCAAAGTTCTGCCACATGGAGAAAGGAAATCAGCAGAGTCTACTTGGTCTTGAGAAGAGACTCCAGGGACACTTCAAAAATAACTCCTTCTTGGCTGAGCTTTTGAGAATATCCAAACAGGCAATATATCCTTGCTCTGCTCTTTGCATTATCACATCAGTTTGCTGAATATTATTTACTTCAATCTGCAACTTTGGATCCCCTCTCTTCACCCAACAACCCTTTCCATGAAGGTCTAATCTAAAGTGGCAGTTATGTTCGTGCCAAGTGATATACTCCATTCCAACACCAAACTAAATAGATAGTGTTGACAAGCCATCCAGATGGTAATTCTCACTGGACTTGGGGCCATCCTTACTCATTTGCATTTATTCATAAATAAACTTACCCTTTTTGTTTGGATAAAGATTCCAATCTGCTCATCACAGAAAACAAAGATTTAGCTGTAAAAAGGGAAATACCATTTAATCACGCTGCAATGATCGAAAAGAAGAGTCAATATTACCCTGCATTAAAGGAAATGATTTAGATAATGAGAAAAATCATTATCTCTGGTATGACTTCTGGTGATTAATGATAACTATTACCCTGGGATTAATGAGTGTTGTGCTGGATACAGCTTTTTCCTCAGGCTTTGAAAATATCTACAGCCAAAAAGTTTAACCCGAAGCAGAATCAAGTCTCATGTCCACCTCTGCACATTCAGTTGCACTGTGCTGAACGTCAACAGCGATACACAGACCATTTCCATGGAATACTAAAAAATTCACTTTGCTATCAGAGTTATCTGACAGCTTGTTACCGTTCAGTGTCCTCCGTATCTTCTCCATACAAGAGAGCAGTGGACCATCYGCAGGGTTACTGACAGGTCGTCGCGGTGGTTTATCCTAGTGCATTCGTGAAGAGAGGAGACAGAGAAAGACCCCTTAAGTTGTCAGTTAGAGAGGAGTATCACTGCATGCCTCCTGTGGGGCACTGGTACCCAGTCCAACAAAATTTGTACTTATTTCTCCTTGTAAACCACAGGGATGAGCAATGACAATAACCATCTCTAAAGTGACAGCACTGAACTTAATGGATTTGTGAAGACCCTGTTGTGCAGTAACCATGTGTCAGAGGCCTTCGGTGCAGAAAATAGCTTTCCATTTCCTTTCCTTTTGGTTTAAGCGCCCTTTGCTCCCAATGAGAACGAATTTCACTGTTACCAGGAGCCAACAAAGAACGTTTGGATTCTAATTTTAGGAAAACTCCTACTGGAAAGGAGATACCAGTCAGCACTAGGGATGTTCTTGATTAGGGTCAGGGCATAAGGCCTTTTTGAACTTTACTTTGGATAGGAATGGAATAGTAGTTCTTGTCTACAAATATGTTTATGTAAATGAATGAAAATAGTCCAAAGTATCAGACTATATCAGCACAAATCCTTGAAGGATAAAAATAATATAAGAAGCTCTTTTTCCATCAACTGTTGTAAGAAAAATCCAAAGACACTTTAATAGGCACTTTGAGTCAAGCAATCTTTAAAACATCTCAGTGACCTGCTGACCTGCTCATACCAGATATCCTTCTCTAACCGAATCTACAATTCTTACCATGCAAAAATGGACAAGTTTCAGAGTTTCAGCCCATGGTTTTTGTTCATATTTTAGACGCAACTTTTCCATTAAAGCATTTGTAGGAATTGCTTTCACAGCACCTGAAAAAAATGTCAGAGCATTCTAAATGTAATACCATATATTTACCTTGGCAATTAGAAAAGTAATAGGAAGAATACAATAAAATACAGTCAGCTTAATAAGATCAGAGGTGCAATGCTTCAAGAAATAAGATAGGGRAAAAAAAGTGTTTTAGTTGAATTTTGCATGCAAATACTTAATTTTTACCTTTTTTTCCCCCCTCCCCAGAAAACAGGGAGGAAAACCAGAAAGACTCTTTGTGTAGGTAAAATACAGAAATGTGGTCACACCTTCATCTTGTTAAACAACTAGACTTTTTTTCACCTATACACAACTTGAGGTGTGAATTTTTAACATGTACTTTAGCATTCAATCTTGTTATGAGCTTCAGGCAGACGAATTTCTGTACCCACCTAGAGTAGCAACAAGGGAAGAGCAGAACCGCATGATCCCCTAGACAAGTGGTCATCTCTACCTACTTCAGCCAGCTAGAGGAAGGGGCAGTAGGTTCCCCCCACCCACTTTTGCAAGTATCCACCTGGAGAAGGTGCCACTCACCTGTAGGCTGATGCCCCTCCTGAGCCTCCATCTCCATCAACACCACAACGCCCAGGGGCTCTTTACTTGTAGCACCATTACCGTGGCACCCACAGGTGCCAGCAGGTTTGATCCCAGCTTACAAAACTGGGCTCYGGATTAGGGCTTGAACATGGAAACCTGTTTGCCCTGCTAATTTTTAGTAGGGATAAGGAACCCTGTTACTCAACTCTTCTTTATTTCAGGCCTTGGGAGAAGGCACTATGTCTATCCCCAGCTTTTCAGAAAGTGCAGCATCTTCAGGAAAAGATGTAATTCTACTGAGAGAAAGGTGAGGTATGGCAATGGCATTACCCTGCAAAGAAGGGAAGAACTCTCCAGGGGAGCTATTAACCTACCTCCAGGTGGGAAGGAAAAGAGAAAAAAAAAAAAAAAAAAAAAAAGACAAACACAAAACACCAAAAGGCTTCTCCAGCATTTTACAATGCTTACACTGAGTTTGTGCATGCTTTTGTGGTTATCTCCTGTCACCTCTCCCCATAAGTAGGGGTTAGTGTGTAGTGACAGCAGCAGAGCAAAATTTAACCTTGATCTCATATATAGGCACCAGCTTGAAGCTTATTGTGATTCCTGAAATAGTCTCATAACAAGTCAAGGTGGTCAACTTGGGTTTGCATGGAAATAGCCCAGTATTCTGGTGAGTAGTCTGGTGGCCTCACAAAGATCACAAGAGTTATCCGTGACTATCAAGGTAGATACAAAAGAGCAGGTATCTGTCTCCAAGCAGATGTGTGTCAGGCATATCACTTAGGAAAAGCCAGTGCAGCTGATGTTTTGCTTAACTTTGCACTTCAGCTTTTTTAAAGGAGGTTAAAAAAAAATCAAGTAAATTGATGATGTAGTTGAACATGTGTGTTAAATCTCACCACTACACCCCAAGCTAATTAGCTGATTGGTTTAGGCTCTTAAATATTCAGTAATTTTTTAAAACTYAATATGACTTGGTGCATCTACTTCAAAATTTTTGTGTTCAGCTTTTTATAGAAAGGCATTTTAGCTCAGGTTTGCTTTAACAATGGATTACAATGTGCTTTCTGGTGGGCAAGAACAAGTATTATGGCCCATGTAAGGTAAGTAGGTTATCTCACTCCAGAATATGTGAAAAGATATACATAGATATCTTTTCACATCTTCTCAGTATTTACTATTTTAGTGGTAATTTTCTTAAATGTTTACCCTGATTCAGAGCTTACTGGAGTCAGTGTGAGCTTGATGCTCACTCCAGTGGCTTGATCAAGTCCTGAATAAGCAGACAAGAAAATTATTTCCTTACTCTCTCAAAGAAAGTGCTGCTAAAATAATGTGAGCAAAGATACCACTACTTACCTTGTTTGCACACTAACTTTGCAAATAAACAAAGGACTTCATGGTTAAAGACTCTTCCTCTAGCATGGCTCGTAAGTCTAACGTTCTCCCTTCTTTTTCAATACAGAATAATCCTTTCCTCTGTGCTTGAATGCATATTACTGTTTTTAGGAAAGTGAATTTAAATTGTGAACAGGTAAAAAGGAATAGTACTCATCTTTCATAAGAATACAAATACTTCAAGACAAATAATAACCTTCATATCTGCATAAAATGATATTTTGAAATATTTGAAAATGAAATATTGACACAGATTTTATCCAAGAAACAAGTAAGTATTGGCAGCAAGCTGCTTGGGTTAAGGTGCTGTTCCAGCGCTCAGAAGTGCCTTGTCAAGTTACCACGCACAGGAGAAGAGTTAAGAATGTTGAATAATTAAAAATGTTCTAATTATAGCATCTCATGCATATTAGATACACAAATGATTTAACTGGGTCAACTCATTAAAAGGAGGGGAGAAAAAAAATGGCCAAGCCTTATCAGTATATAAGATAATAGCAATTACCCTTATAAATCCTGCACGTCCACATACTTTAGATAGTTCTCTTGCAGCATTCAGCAAGAACTGCTTCTGAAAGAAACTTTGACATGCACAGTKACAAAGTAAGTTATCCCCAGAGAAAATCATCTCTTGCTCTCCAATAATTGGAGGTTACCTTATTCCTCTAAACCTGCCTTGTCTTTCTGAGTACCTTTTAAAAAGTTGATTATTATTACCACTCTGTTTATTTTATCATGCTTTTCTAAATCTTACAAAATTCCTGAATCAGTTATATTTTGGACAAGGCGTGTAACAGGAACAATGCAAATCATATAAAAAACACTTCCAGAAATTTCATAGTTCTTCCATTTCTGATGATTTTCCTTTCCACTGAAAGCCATTTCTTAATTCTGAGACAGTATCAATATATTTCCCATTAACGTTCTTGCATATACTCAATAAACTATTGCATTCAGTAAAGATATTCTCAGCTGAGTACAGAACAAGGGAAATTTTCTTACGTTAGTTAGAGTTTTGTTTTGTTTTTAATAGTAGCAGTTTGGAAGAGGAGTAAGATCTGTATTCTGTGACATTAGTGTGGGTTTTTTTATTAGTCTTACACCTACTCTTGAATGTTTTCATCTAAAGAATAAAAATCAAAACAGATCAGTAGTAAAACCTTCATTGGTTTGCATACAGCACTTTCTTAAAATTACGTCTTTCCAGAAGCCCCCAGCTAAATTGTAGACCGGAGAAAACAGCACCTATCTAAGAGCCTGCAGCAACTCCAAACAAAGAGTTGGAGTCTGGGGTCATTGAAAAGCAGTAGTTCCAGTTAAAGCTCCAAGATGTGTAAGAGGTGTCGCTGTGATTGTCTGAACTTATACTTGCTCTGCTCAGAGGTTCTTTCAGAAAGCACCATGGGATTTTGGAGTGCTTGGAAGTAATAGAATTTCATGACTAGAAAATGAACGTGTACCCGGAGCATGAAGCAGTGTTTATCTAAATGGTGAGGCATTCAAACTATTCCTTTATCTATCCTGACTGCTCTTCCATGTTAGGTTAGCTAAAACCAGTGCTGCTTGGCTTGTAATAGCTACCAAGATCACAGCRCAGTCTGATATGATTTATAGTTTATGGCTTTACGGCACATAAATAATACAATATGATTTTTCTTCTCTCCTTCACTCTCTACATCATCTCCAAAGCTGCAGAATGCAAATATTTGGTCCCTGAGAGGAACATCAAAATGTTGGTGGCTACATTTTATTTCTCTATAGTCAGACAGACTAAATCAGGTTTGCTTAACTTACTGAGTAGGACTTCTTGCACTGTAGTCTGAGGCATTTAACACTGACAAGATTTGACTGTTTCCTGCTCTTTCACTGAATGTGACCAAGGTCCTTCAATGCCAAAGGCTGTACAGAAAGACATCAAAAAAATAGATTTGTAACAAATGGTCATAGATGTAGAAATAAATTGATGTTGACAGTGCCTATTTTTTTCCATGAGCACAGTCAAGATATGACTAAGATTTTGGCTTCTGCATGAAGTTAGCATTATAGCCTCCAAATATGCATTGTCTCAGTCTTTTTCCCAAAGTAATAGGGCTATGAGACCACGATTTAAGTAGCCTCACGAGTGAACATAGGAGCTAATCTGCATAGATAAACAGATTCTAATTACAAGGTTTAGATGCCATAGAAATGACTCATAAATGAAACATCTTTGTTCATCACAGACCTCTCATCTTTCTAAAACACTTTTGATAATTTTATAACTAAAATCAGATGTTGCACCATCATGTGTTCTTTAATGATCCCACTGAGTTGAAACCAAWGGAATCATTCACTTAGGAGCTGTTCCAGCTCTCTTTCAAGAAAACAGATAAAGAGTGAATGCAGTGGGCACATAATCTGCAAAATATGGCAGAATTGGTAATAACTATGGTATGTTGAAAGTCCTACTTGAAAATGTTACTGTTAGATGGAGGTGGGAAGGGGGAAAATAGATTTAAGTTTAGCTGAGAAGGAAGTCATGAAGAGTACTGACGAAGTAATTGAGGCAGAGGAGAAGAGGTGGGATGGAGAAATGTGGAATAACACTACTTAAAAAGAGCTTTTTATCAATATTTCTCAATATGTTTTCAAGCTAACCACATAGGTGCCAGCTATTTTTTCCAGGCAAGAAAGCAGAGAGATGGGAGGGGGACTGACTGCCCAAGGTTGTCACAGTGGCAGAACTAGCAACCTAAGTGCAGATCCCCTGTAACATAGACACACAAGGAGGAAAACGTCAAAGAAAAAGAGAGATGGGAAGAGACTGAAAAAACACACGAGTAAAGGTTGTAAAAAGGCAAGTAAAAACATGAAAAATATAAATATATGAAAAATATAAGCAAGAAAAAGGAAAGGAAATGAAAGGCAGAAAAGATAGAAAAAAAGATGAGTGAATATTAATATAGGCAACTTTAAGATTAAAACATATTTTTTAGGATTTTTTGTGTCATTTTTATGACAGAAAAGTGAAAGGCCTTTAAGTCTTCTTTAAGCTATTTTGAACCAGTATTGGTTTGGAGATGACTGTTAAGCTTGAGTGTTCTGACTGAATATTTACCAGGATCTGAACTACATAATATGCTGACTGACAGTACTTGGTTTTGGTAAAAYAGTGCATGGGAAGGACACATTATTCAGGACAAACAACTCCGTGAAGGAGTTCAGTCCTGACATTATGCCAACACCATGAGGACAGGTAGTCCACAGAAACTACACATTTTACACAATTCTATTATATTAGAAATTTTCATGCCGCTTTTCATATGTTATATATTTTAATGCTTTTTAGAAACTCAGTAATTTCTTAATTATGTTTCTAACAATGTTTCTGTCTATTCTGACTTCTCATAAACCAACAGTTCCATAATCCATGAATCTCAGATTGCCAGATTCCTACACATCTCTGAGAGTGACATTATTTCTCCTAGCCCTGATGAATGGTAAGATGAATGACTGAAAACTCATCATTAGTTGTGGAGACGTTATTATCCAACTCATTTCTCTGAACATTTTCTGTAAGCAGAAACTATTTCAGAGTTAGATTATCTTCTCAAAATACTTGCTTGAGACTGTTAAGGACATTGCGAATGCCAA